TGACTTCCCACCTCAGGCAGAAGACTGAGCCCACGCAGGCTTCCCTGTCACCGTGCCTGGCACTGGCTTCATCCTGTCATTTTCCCGAGAGCTCTGAGTCTTCTTATGAGTGGAATTCAGAGCTGCTGGGATGTAAAGAGAGGGGCAGGGGTGGGGTTGAGGTACACTGGGACCAACTGGATGACTTAGAAATGGGGCTGCAAACTAGAATCTGATGGGGGGGGGCGGGTCTGAGGAGCCGGGAGGGGTTTCAGGGAGAGCAGAGCCATGGTCAGATGGCTGGTGAAAAGGATCATAATGCTGGGAGTTAGACACTAGCATGAGGAGCTTGAACCCTAACCTGGGCCACCCTCCCCTCCCTGGGGATGCAGACTCTGGGGCCAGACAGTGGGGGTTCAAATCCCAGCTCTGCCACTTTCTGGCTGTGTGACCTTGGGCAGGACACGTCACCTCTCTGTGCCTCAGTTTCTTCATCTGTGAAATAGGTTTAATGATAATACCTACCTTAGAGGGTGCATTTGATTAACAGACATAGAGCACATAGTGCCAGGCACACAGTAAGTGCTCCATTATTGCTATTGTTTGTTTGTTTTGTTTTGTTGTGGCTTGTGGGATCTTTGTTTCCCAACCAGGGATTGAACCCCGGCCCTCAGCAGTGAGAGCTCGGAGTCCTAACCACTGGACCGCCAGGGAATTCCCATCACCCCTTTAGATGTCCAGTACTGACACCTGAGATAAAATACTTGATTTCGTGCCCACTCTTCGCCCTCAATCTGTTCCGACCTCGTTTTCCCCTCTCTGCAAATGGTGCCACCTTCTTCTGCCCATTGCTCAACCCTCAAGTCCAATCAAGCCTTTCCTCTTTGTCAGATCAGCAAAGATATTAAACCTGTCCTCGACCAGTCACTCTATGGCCCCACCCTGGTCCTGCCCACCCCCATCTCCTTCCTCATTGTTTCCTTGCCCCCTCCCTGCCCTCACTCAGCCAGAGATCAATTCATCACTTGCCAGCCAAAAACTTCCCCATAGTTTCACTTTGCATTTATTACACTTAGATAAATCCTACAGAGCTGCCCACTCCATCCTCTCTCTGATCTCATCTCCCCTGCGTTCCCTCCATTCCAACCACACTGGCCTCCCTCCTGTTCCCCAAATGCACCATGCCTGGTCCCACCTCAGGGCCTTTGCACTTGCTGCTCCCTCTTCTTCAGGTCTCTGCTCAAATGTCACCTCCTCTGAGAAGCCCTCCCTGACCACCTCAGCTAAAACAGGCTTCCCACCCGCTGCTCTTCCCTGTCATCACAACCTTTTTTCACCATCAAAGCATTTCATGCTGCTTGTCAATTAGTTACTTGTTGAACAGTTGAAGCCTATCCCTCCTCCCACGAGGAAGCCCCATGGGGACAGGAATCTGTCTGTTCTTTCACCATTATATCCGCAATGCAGAGGCCTTGGCCACTGTGGATGTTTAATAAGTATTTGTTAAAAGAACAAAAGGTAGAAAGGGCAATGGGAAGTTATGGATCCTTGTTTTCTTCATATATATTTTTTGTTCACACAAATAGTAGCCTATGAGGCCCACTATTCTAGATCTGGCCTTTTTCACTCAATAGGCTTGTTGCTATTTCCTTGTTTGTACATGGAGAGAGTTACCATATCCTTTCTGCTTTGTTTCTTATTGAGGTATAATTTACACACAAGAAAATACACCCATTTTAAAGGTACAGTTTGATGAGTTTTGGCAAATGTATACACCCATATAACTACCACCACAATTAAGATAGAACTTTTGGGAACTTCCCTGGTGGTCCAGTGGTTACAACTCTGCGCCTCCACTGCAGGGGGCATGGGTTCAATCCCTGGTTGGGGAACCAAGATCCCTCATGACCTGAGGTGCCACCAAAAAATACTAAAAATAAAAAAAATAAATACACACAAAAGAAAGATAGAGCTTTTTTTCTCACTCCAGAAAGTCCACGCCCCTGCCCCGCAGCCTAGGAAACAACCAACCTGTTTCTCTGATTCTAGATTACTGTTGCCTTGTCCAGAATTTTCTAGAAACGGAATCACACAGTACGTGCTCATTTCTGCAGGGCTTTTGTCAGTCTGTGTGAGGATTTTTAGGTTCATCCATGTGGCTGCATGTTTGGCTAGTCATTCCATTTTCTTACTGAGAGCATCCCACAGTGTGGACATAGCACGGCTGGTTTATCCACTCGCCTGTGGATGGGCACTTGGGTGGGCTTGCTCTGGAGTCATCATGGGAAAGCTGCATTGGGTGTGGGTCTTTTGGTGGCCATGGCTAAATCCCCAGGAGTGGGATGGCTGGGTTGTAGCGTGGGAGCATATCTGGTTTTATGAGAGATTGCCAATTTGTTTTCCAAAGTGGCCACACCATCGCTCGTACTTTTCAATGTTTCATGACACATGAGAGGTGGCTGTGGGGAGGCGAGCTGTGTTGGTCATCCAGGCCTTGGCCCTTTTGAAAAACAGCCTTTCAGAGCTTGAGTCCCCACACTGGGACCTTTACCGCTCAGAAGGTGGAGAAAGGAGATGTTTGAGATCTAATGTTGAAGACACTTGGCTTTGTATGGCCCTGGTTGTGTCCCTGGATCCCTCAGATTTAAGTAAAAATGTTTCTCATAGTATGGAATGATGGGGTGGGTGCTTCTAAAATTTTAGATTCTGGGGCCCAGAGGGACTGAATTAGACTCCTGGGAGTGGGGCTTGAAAATACACATATAAAATAAGCTCCCTGGATGAAACTAATGAGCCCTAAAGTTTGGGAACCACTGAGTATGGGGATATGGGTGAGAGGGAAGGGCATTCTGGGTGGAAAGAACTTTCTGAGCGAAGTCCCTAAGACGGGAGAGAACAGGGAGCAGAAATCCAGGGTCTCTAATGCTGGCAAAGAGCTGGGATTTTTCTCCGGCACTGGGGAGCCATGGCAGGTTTAAGTGGGGGAGCGACTGCTTGGGTTTAAGCTTTCATAAGACCCCTCTGGCTGTGGCGTGTGTGTGTGTGTGTAAGAGAAGGGGGTGAGGACCCCAGGAGGGAGATAATGTGGACACCATGGCAGGAGGGTGGCAGACAGAGGAGGGGTGTTGATCCCCATTCTATAGACTTGCTGTGCTTTTTTTTAGGTTTCTGGCTCCGAGCCACTCCCTGCCCTGGATTCTGACCAGGGGACAGCTCTGAGTCCACTAGACAGACACTCCTCCTTCTCTCTCTGTCCTTTCCTCCTCCCCTTCCCCCTCTTTTCCCCCTCCCCTCCCCTCCCCCTCCCCCTCTTTTCCCCTCCCCCTCCTCCCCCTCCCCCTCCTCCAATGAAGACAGGTGGGCAGCCAGCCAGACTAGGCTGTGGGTTTGTGCGCTTGTAGTGGCCAAGGGAGTATTTCCAGTTGTGCGTGTGTTGTGGGCTCTGCGAGTGTCTGTCTGGGAATCTGCTGGAGACTTCCAGGTGCAGCGGGGCTATTGCACATTCGTTGGTTTGCCCGCTTCCATGGGTCCTCCCTCCTCCCAAGGGCCCTGGCTAATTCCCAAGTTTCCCAGGATAGGTCACTTCACCTCTCTTGCCTCAGTTCCCCAATCTGTCAATGGAGGTACTATTACCAGTTCCCACCTCCCAGGGTTGTAAGATTTAATGAGTTAAAGACAGACAATAAATGTAACCATTTTCTCCTGTCTGTTTCTGTGTTGAGCCAGTGTTTCTCTCTAGGGGCAGTTTGAATCTGAATCCCTGTGTATCTCACTGAGATTCTGTGTCCAGCTCGCCGCACACCAGCTGTGCAACCTTGGGTGAGTTACTAGACCTCTCTGAGTCTTAGTTTCCTCAAGCATCATCATTCCGGTGTGAGCTCAATTCTGTATGTCTGCAGTATGTGTCTCTCAGGGTCTTGTGGGAATCTGAGGCAGGAGGCACCCATGGAAGCATATGGGGTTATCTGGGGCAGTATGGGACCAGGCCTGTGAGGTGGGACTCTGTTTCCTCATCCGTGAAATGGGGATAACAACAGTTCCCCACTCAGGGTTGGTGTGCAGGCCAATGCTGGAGCGCTTGGGCCGACATGCAGCTCCACACACGTTCTCTATTCTTTCTTTTACCTATAAAATGCCCACAATAGTAGCACCTACGTCGTTAGAGGATGAAATGAACTTGTAAGCGCTTAGGACAGCACCTAGCGAGCAGAAAGCTCTCACTGTGGCACTTGTTACTGGTAACCTGTGTGGGACTCTGAGCCTGTGCTTACCGGGGCCGGGTGTGGGATGTGGCATGGGCAGAAAGGGGCTGTGGGCGTCTGGCCCTACAGGTTCCTCTGCCATCCTACTTCCTCTGCACCCCGACCTCCTACCCCAACTATCACTCCAGCCCTCACTCCAAACTCCCTATGACCTCCGAGGGAGGAAGCTTTGGCAGCTGTGCCACCTGCCCCAGCCCCAGGAAGGGATGCAAGGCACCCTGATACCCAGAAGGGGTTGCTGCTTCCCTCTCTGGTGCTATCTCAGTGTCTCCCTGATGTTCCCCATCTCTGTGACTCCCCATCTCAGGCTCCAGGTCTCTCCCTGACCTCCACTGCACCCCCGCTATGTTTCCAGAACAGGAAATGTCAGGTCCCAAGATTGTCTCCCACGTCAGGGCAGAGGAGGAACTGGCAGAGGACCTACCCTCCCAGCCCCCACCCCTTACTGCCTAGCTGAGGGGGGTGGGAAGAGGGGGGCTTCATTAATTAACCTCTAATCCTGCCATGCGGGATCTTAAAGAGGTGGATGTGCCCCGGAGCCCTGGCATTAGCGCCTTGGTCCCACCCCTCTCCCAGGGCTGGTGTATGGGTCCTCAACTGGCCCTGGGGAAACTGGGGCAGGAGGCTTGGGAAACGGAGCAGGGCCAGGACCCTGACTCCTACAGTCTGGGAAAAGGAGGCGCTGTGACCTGGACAGCTGGATCTGAGGGAGGAGGGCCTGGGGCCCCAGAGCCTTCCCCCAACACACCCTTCGCTTAAATGCCAGCCGAGGCGCTCCGCCCTCTCCCGCCCTGGGTTAATCCCGAGCCCTGCAGAGGAGCCGGGACAGTCTCCCAGACCCGACGGACGGAGGAGGTGCGGGAAGGACCAGCGCTCGGTGGCGGGATGGAGGAACCCTCGAGCACCCAGGAGCTGCCGTCGCCGCCCCCGCCCCCGTCGCCGCCGTCGCCCGCGGCCCCCGAGACCCCCGGGTTCCCGGTGCCTGAGCAGCCGACCGAGGCCTATGCACAGCAGCTACTGCTGCAGGAATGGGCGCCGCCGGGAGGGAGCCTGGAGCTGCCCCCGCGCCTCACCTGGAAGCTCCTCTTCCTGCAGCGGCCGCTCTACCGCAACCTGCTCCGCTCTCCCAACCCCGAAGGTGCGGGACAGAAGTCCGCGCGGGGCTGGAGACGTCTCTGCCTTCTTTCCCCAGGCTCACTCACCCAGACCGTCTGTCTCTTCTTCTTTCCGTCTGTTTGCTTGTCTCTCTACTCTGTTTCTCTGTCGTTGTCTATTAGTGTGCCTCTGTCTTTTTATTCCTCTACATCCCTCTCTGTCCCTTTTTGTCATTGTGCCTCTCTCTGTCTCCTTGTGTCTCTTTGTCCCACCCGCATCTCTGTTTCTTTCTACGTCATGTGTCTCCGTCTATCTCTCCCTGTGTCTCTTTGTCTCACCCCGTATCTCTCCCTCCCTCCCTCCGCCCATATTCTATCTCTTTTTCTTGGTGCCTCTCTCTCTGTCCCTCTGTCTCTGTCTCACCACAACGCCCTCCCTCTCCAAGCATTGTCCCTCTGCCCCCAGGACATTCTCAGGGCTCTCCCAGGGCCATGACTCACCACCCACCCCTTCCTGGCTGGTCTGGTCTGGTAGGCAGGGCACTGATTCCTGCTCTTCCAGCCTGCCCTGGGGTTAGAAAGTGGGGAGCATTCGGAAGGGGGGCAGCTTCAGCGCGCCTGAGGCTCTGCTTCCCTGCGCATTTCAGGCATCAACATTTATGAGCCAGCGCCCCCCACTGGTCCCACACAGCAACCCCTGGAGACTCTGGGTAAGCGCTTTGTGGCTAGCCCGGTGCTGAGGGGCTGGCCCTGGAGAATGGGCACATTCTAATCCTTTGCTCGTCCACCTGCCAGGCAATTTCCGAGGCTGGCACATTAAGACGGAGAAGCTCCAGCAGGGCCTCAGGTGAGTGGCCGGGACCCACGGTGACCTGCCTGTGATTCCTTGTTCCGGCCTTCCTCTCTGTGGGACCTGGAGAAACAGTCTTTGCCTCTCTGGGCCCTAGTCTCCTGCTCTGTAAACAGGGTTAGTCATAAGAGCATGCCCATAAAACACACGCCTGGCTCGCTGGGAGTAGCCTGCACATAGTAGGTGTTAAATAAATAGCAGTTAATATTGTTCCTATGCTCAGCCTCTTTCCGTAGGAGGGGGAGGGTCACCCAGGCCACCAGCTATCTGCCATTAAACCAGGCCCTGCTTCTGAACGGTGGATGGGATGGTGCAACTCAGAAGCTCAGAGTCACAGGCACCTGGGTTGGGATCCCAGCTCTGCCACTTCTTTGCTGCTCGATCTTGACACGTCAATTCCCTTTGTGAGCCTCGGTTTCCCCATCTGCAACACGGAGCTCAGGATTACCTTCAGAGGAGTTCATGGGAACTGAGGCCGTGAGGTAGGCTGAGTGAGCTCTCAGTGCCCTTATGCCGGTGCCCTTGACGTCACTTCCAGGGTGCAATGATCAGGGTGCCCTGCTTGCTGGGGCCAGGCTGGCCTGGGAGAATCCCCACCTCCCCTGTGCTGTTTCTCACAGCTGGACCGTGAAGCAGCAGCGTGTGGACCTGCTGGCGGAGGGCTTGTGGGAGGAGCTGCTCGATGTTGAGCAGCCACACATCACGGTCATGGACTGGTACGTGCCTCTGCACCACCGGCCTGCCCAGCCAGGTCGCACACAGGCACTCCCCGAAGCGCAAGCCTCACGCCATCCTCCCAGAGACCCTCCTGCCCCTGCAGGACCCAGCCCTGCCCACCTCTGTGGCCCCTTCTCTCTGAGTCCGTTCTTGCAGTGTGCCAGCCCAGAGGCTGTTCCTTCTTCCTTGGATGCTGGCCACCCTCTTTTCTTGAGGCGAAGTCCCCTCTCTCCTTCAGGAGTCGGTACATGTGGCTCCACCAGGAAGCCTTCCCCTGGCCGCCCCCAGGTTGTGTCAGATGCATTATCCCCCAGTGCCCCGATTTCCCCCATCTCGGCCCTGACCATTCCTGTTTGTCACTGCCTGGTGACATGTCCGCCTCCCCCACTGGACCATGAATCCCATGAGGGTGGGGCGTGGGGTTGTCTTGGTCACTGCTGTGGTGCCAACACCACCCAGCCCCGGTGCACAAAGCGGGTGCCAGTGAGTGTCGACAGGCGACTGAGCCAGGGTTTGGGGCTGGGAGGTAGGGGCAGTGGAGGCAGCTGAAGGCCTGGCCCCCACCCCCAGGTATGAGGACAGCCGACTGGACGTGTGTGTGTATGAGCTGCACGTCTGGCTGCTGGCAGCTGACCGCCGCACAGTCATCGCCCAGCACCACGTGGCCCCTCGGACCTCTGGGAGAGGCCCCTCTGGCCACTGGGTCCAGGTGAGACTCCCTACCCCGTCTACCACCCGCACACATGCTTTCGCATCCCAAGACCTCACAGAGGGAGGAGAGCAGGGTTTATGGGTCCCTCATAAGAACTTCTTCCTGACCCTGGTGCTGCCCCAGGTGTCCCACGTATTCCGCCAGTACGGCCCTGGCGTCCGCTTTGTCCACTTCCTGCACAAGACCAAGAACCGGATGGAGCGCGGTGGGCTGCTGCGGACGAGGGTGACCGACTCCTCCGTGTCTGTGCAGTTCAGGAAGTGATTGGCTGGCTCTGGGCCCATTCTGACCCCTTGTCATATCCATCCACCCCTTGACACCTCCCTGAGCCCTTAGCATCTTCTTGTTCCTTTATCACTTCTGACGTCTTAGCGTCTCTCTGACCCCATAGCAGCTCCCTGACCCTTAGAAGTCCCTAACCCTTGGCACCTCCTTGACCCTTAAGCTTACCGTGTTTCCTGAGCACCTCCCTGCTCCCTCTAGACCTTCACGACCCCTCAGCTGCTCTTGGATCACGTACCACCTCCTATACCCCCGTAATCCTGCCTGACCCTTGGTTTCTCATTTGACATCTTCACACATCTTTGAATGTCTGACTCTCTGGCATTTTCCATGAGGGCAGTGGCCACTTCTCCCTGAGTCAGTGCTTGACAGACAGTAGGGGCTCAATAAATCTTTGCTGACTGAATGAATAAATACATGTGCCCAAGGATGCTGATCATTTCCGTGGTGTTTGATCCTTAGAACTTCACCAAGGGACTTCCCTGGCGGTCCAGTGTTTAAGACTCTGCGCTTCCACTGCAGGGGGCGCAGGTTCGAGCCCTGGTCGGGGAACTAAGATACCACATACCCGTGCGTGGTGGCCAGAAAAAGAAAAAAACTTCACTGTGTTCATTTCCCACTTTCCAACTTGCTCATCCTCTAATCCTTGATCCTCCAGTACCTCCGTTGACCTCTGATCTCTTCACATATCCCCAATTTATGGCCTCGTAGCCTCTCCACTTACTTCTTCTCCCATGTCTCTTAACTCAGAATCCCCCCAGATTCCCTTCCTCCTCCAATCCCAAGTTATCATCCCCTAGAGCTGTCCCCCTACTTCTTCTCCCCCCAAGACCCCTCATTTCTCTTCCCTCACTCCTCCAGAGCACCCAAACCCAGGTACCCATCAAGGGCCCTGATCCTTGGGAGTAGTAAATTGCAAATTCGAATTTTCAAAAACATACAAATTAGAACTAAAGTGTTCTCCATGTGTTGGGTAGAGGGGCACTGAAAGCACTTCACAACCCATAAGTCCTGGGCTGTGACCAGATTGCAAAACAGACCCTGGCCCTAGCCTGGAGCAGGGTCCTTGAAGGCCTCCTACTGTCCTATTCATAAATCCTGAGGGAGTCTGGAGGTCCCGGCAGGCCTGAACAGCTGGGAGGCATTCAGAGACGGGCTACCCACCAAAAAGTATGGGAAGCATTTCAATGTTTAACAATCAACCGGCAGTACCATGGCATGTCACCCAGATGTCCTGTGTGTGGGGGGTGTGTCCACACCTAAACCCATGTCGGAATCTATGGGTGTGTCCCCATCCACGGCATTGTCCCAAGTATGGGCTGACCCAGGCCTGACCACCCTGCTCTCTCCTCCATCCTGACCCGCATCTGCATGGGCTTGGGTCCCAGGCACCAATAGATGGCAGACAGGGACAAGTTCATAACAGTTGTATTACAGGGAAGGAAGGGTGGTGGAGGCAGGCGGTGAGCTCTCTTCTGGGTCTCGCGGACTTCAGCAGACCCCACGGACAAGGCCAGGTGAGGGGCTCAGCACTTTGCGGGGGATGGAGATGAGGGATTGCTAAGGTATCAGTAGCACCTGCCACAGAATCAAAAATTATAACCAGGGGGTGCCAGGTGGGAGGGATTCTGGAAGCCTGAAATGGGGTGGGGGTCCTGGGCTGGACTCCAAGTTCAGGAGCTAGGCATCCTGGCCTGGAAGTTTGGGGCTGGAGGCTCTTGGAGTTCTTGGGGGTAGAGGGACAGGTGGGGTGGTTTTAGAGGGTGCCCTGGCTACATTTAGGGCCCCCGGGTCTGTGAGCTTGGATATGTGAGTCCAGGGTGGGCTCAGGGGCCTCCAAGTTGGGTCTGGGGGCTTCAGAACCTTAACAGGGTCTCTGGAACTGGTTTCTGGGGCCAAGGCTGATCTATAGGGTCTAGGGGGGTGGAGCATGAGGGCTAGATAGGGTAAATCCTAGAATTAGGTCTGGGGTCTTGAGGTCTGTGTCGGGTTTAGAATCTGGGAGTCCCAGAGTTGGGTCTGAGAGCTCTGGGATCTGAGGTTGGAGAGGGTGCTCCCAGAACGGAGGCTGGATTACTGGGTCAGCCTCTGAGCCTGGGAATCCCAGAGTTGGGTCTGAGAGATCCAAGGGGCATGGGCTTGGGGGAGGGGGCCTGGGTGAGAAGGGGGACCTCCGGGACTGGTTCTAAGGACGCCCAATTTGGGTCAGAGGCTCAGCGGTCTGGATGATGGGGCTGGAGCCCGGGTGCTCTGTTGGGAGCTAGGCAGGTGGATGTGCGAACTGGAGGGCCGGGTCCCTAGGGGCGCGGGCCAGCGGGCGGGCACCTGCAGTAGAGCGAGGAGATGGAGTTGGACCAGTCCCCGAAGATGCCGCGGCGGTACTCTTCCAGGCGCGGGTAGGTGCCGGACGAGAATTTGTGCGTCTTGCCGGCCTTGCCGCGAGAGGACCACACGGTGAGCTCGCAGCGCGGGGCCACCACGAGGGACGAGATGGCGTTGTTCCAGCCAGAGGGCAGGTAGGGCAGGTCGGTGCCCGGCTCCACCGACAGCTCGGCGCCGCCGCAGCAGCGATCGTAGTAGGGGTCGCTCTTTTCGTAGAGCTTGGCGCACGTGCGCGTCCCGTCGGCTCTCTTGAGGCTGGCGGGCTCCGGGCAGTTGCCTCGGACGCCGGGGACGGCCGCCAGGGCCACGGCCAGCAGCAGTGAGCACAGAGGGGACATGTTGACACTGCAGGGCAGCGCCCTCCCGCCCTTTTATGCTCCTGACCCGTGGGAAGGGAAAAGCTGCGAGATAAGGACTTAGGGAGGGAAAAGGAGGGCGCTTAGGAGTGGGGAGTCTTCCCAACCTGGGTCGGAAACCCACAACACATGAATACAAGACGGACTTATTTGTATAAAACTCAGCAGCTTAAGATTTAATGTGGCAAATGACAGGACCAGTGGCTTGTAATACAGAAGGTAGCATAGAGTTAATAGTTATAGGGAGGGGCTTCCCTGGTGGCGCAGTGGTTGAGGGTCCGCCTGCCGATGCAGGAGACACGGGTTCGTGCCCCGGTCCGGGAAGATCCCACATGCCGCGGAGCGCCTGGGCCCGTGAGCCATGGCCGCTGAGCCTGCGCGTCTGGAGCCCGTGCTCCGCAACGGGAGAGGCCACAGCAGTGAGAGGCCCGCGTACCGCAAAAAAAAGTTATAAGGAGGAGAAGCTCTTAAAAATTGACAAGGAATGGACAACCCCCTTCCAAATACCAAGAGACCCAGAGAGGGGGAGGGGAGCTGGGCCTCCGCGCTGGGCAGGTCCCCTTCCCGGGAGGCAGGCCCTTGGGAATAGAACAGCTGGAGATAAGGAGAGAGAGACCCTGGAGGGGAAGGAAGAGGGGGGAGAGGGGAGATGGGGAGGGGGACCCCCCCCACCTCCCCAGGAGCAGGAGATCTTCCTAACCAATCTTAAGATATTAGACATATTTGCGTAACAAAAACCATTGCAAGGCAATGTACAAAAGGCTTGGGGAAAATTCTGCAACACTTGGGACAGCGTAGAATTAGTAGCTATAATATATAAAGAGGGCTTATAAATTGACTAGAAGATATCAAACAACCCCGCCCCCAGTCCCCACTCCAAGAAGGACAAGCCGAGGAGGGGGGAGAGAGAAGGAAGAAGAGGCTGCCTCCCCCCCACTCCACTGCCCGGCATTCCCACTCCCAAGGAGCTAAGAGATTTTCTTAACCAAGATTGGAAATCTTGCATCTATAATATAAACAAAGGACTTTTTGAACTGTACAAAACTTAAACCTTTTGTAGAGCAACAAACAAACAAATAAAAACCTAATCTGGGGGAATATAGACAATTTTTGTAACATGACTGCTTACTGATCAGCAAGCTGAAATGGCACAAGCCAAAGGCAAAATTAAGGAGCTGCACAAGAAGGTTAGGGAGGCTGGGACCTCAGGGAGAGACAGGGCCCCTGGCATCTGGGAGTCTGGCCAAGGCCCTTCAGAGGCTCTTTGGAGTTCCTGGTCTCCCACCAGACAGGAACAGGGTCAGGTGTGTGGATGAGCTGATCAGACACAGTGGTTCAAGTCTGTGGCTCTGTGGGTGAGTCCAAGTCTGGGCCTCAGTTTCCTCATCTGTAAAATGGGTGATATTTCTTCCTACACTATAGGATTGTTGTGAAGATTACAAGGGATAATAGAAAGTATGGGGGCTAAAGGAACAGCTTATGGAGCCAGGCTGCCTGGAGCCAGATCCCAGCTCCTCCACGAGCTTTCACCCATGATTCCACCTCAGGGCCTCATGGAGACAAGGACGGTATCCACCTCAGGACACTGGTATAAGGAGTAAATGAATTAATCCACATAAGAGTACTTAGAGTAGGGCCCTTGCTAAATGCCATATGAGCATTTGCCATATTCTTATTGTAAAAGCCTTTAGCACGGTGCCTGGCACACATTAAAGGCTCAATAAACACACACCAGCACAATGCGACACCGACAACAATCTGCTATTATGCATGGCCACCCAGCTAACACTGCTCCCTCCTGGTCCCCCAGATGCTGTCTTCCGCCTTGACCAGGGTAATGCAATGGTTACGAGCCAAAGGCTGGAAACACTTGGAACTAGGTTCAAATTTTGACTCTGTCACCTTGCTGAATGACCTCGGGCAAGTGAACTCACCTCTCTGAACTTTTCTTCCTACCTTCAATGGGATAATAGAAAATGATAATAGAAAATGATAATTAAAAATTACTATGGGGCTTCCCTGGTGGCACAGTGGTTGAGAGTCCGCCTGCCGATGCAGGGGACGTGGGTTCGTGCCCTGGTCCGGGAAGATCCCACATGCCGCGGAGCGGCTGGGCCCATGAGCCATGACCGCTGAGCCTGCGCGTCTGGAGCCTGTGCTCCGCAACGGCAGAGGCCACAACGGTGAGAGGCCCGCGTACCGCAAAAAAAAAAAAAAAAAAAAAAAATTACTATGTAATTTATA